ACATAGAAAATACATTGATCAATGACTCGAACGCAAATTATCGAAGTAGGAGAATCAAACATTATGTCAAGAAAAGTATTATGTCAAAAATTAGACATTAAGTCAGAGGATTGGTCGATATGTCGAAGATTGAAATTCGTACTATAAGTTTAAGTATTATGTCAAAAGGATCAAGTACTACACCAAAAGATCAGATATCATGGGAAAGTCGATGTGCCAATATATCGGATGTTATACCAAAGGAAAGGACGATATACCGGAGGTTCGGACGAAATACCGAAAAATCGAATGATATGCCGGAATGACATACAATATGTTAGACAATAGTACCATCATGTGTCAGTAGTAGTACCGCTCGTACCTCAAAATTTTTAGAGATTTAAAATTTTTTGCTCCATTTTAAAGCCTCTTGATGCCTATAAATATATCATTAAGGCTTGATGAAATTAATTGATGAAATTTAAATCTTGGATTTTAATGATGAAATTAATTGATGAATTTATGTGTTAATATATTTTTGAGATAAGTGACATAGGAAATACATTGATCAATGACTCAAACCATCAAAGACAAATTATCAAAGTAGGAGAATCAAACATTATGTCAAAAAAAGTATCATGTCAAAAATTAGACATTAAGCCAGAGGATTGGTCGATAGGTCGAAGATTGAAATTCGTGCTATAAGTTTAAGTATTATGTCAAAAGGATCAAGTATTACACCAAAAGATCAGATATTATAGGAAAGTCGATATGCCAATATATCGGATGATATACTGAAGAAAGGACGATATGCCGGAGGTTTGGACGAAATGCCGAAAGATCGAATGATATGTCGGAATGACATACAATATGTTAGGCTCAGGTGGTGGTACCACTTGAGTCAGCCGATATCAAAAGTTACGACAATAGTACCATCATGTGTTAGCGGTAGTACTACTCGTACCTCAAAATTTTTAGAGATTTAAAACTTTTTGCTCCATTTTAAAGCCTCTTGATGCCTATAAATACCTCATTAAGGCTTGGTTGATAGAGCATCAAATTCTAAGTTTGTGAAGGGTTGTAGCTCTCCTTTTTTAGCATTGTTTGGATCTCTTCCACTTTAAGTTTAGAAGTAATTCTAAGTTGTAGGATATGAGAAATTTACGGAGGTTCTCTCATAAGCCAGTTAAAAGGAGAAAAGCTATAACAAGGACAGTTAACCTTCGTTCATTGGAAAGAATATCTATAGTGAAAGCCGGTGGCCTCGAGCGAAGAGGAATCGGGAGTAGACGTATGTCAAGAAAATCGAACTACTATAAATTAGTTTGCATTCCTTCTCTTGCTTTTTATTTCTTATTGCTTACTCATTTATTTTATTTATTACTCTTACTTATTTAGTCATGTTTCTAATATACATTTATTAATTAAACTTTAAAATCAGATAAAAATTTACTATAACACTAATTCAACCCCGACCTCTAGTGTTATTATGATCTTAACACTTTTAACCTCAACGAGACTAATTATAATATTAAAAACTGATATTGTAATAGTGTATAAATAGTGATAACTAAATATACATAATATAATGTCACATATAGAATTTTTCAATAATATTTATGATATTTTTAATATCTCAATAAAAACACTGTAAATGAGTCAAATAAAAACACTATAATAATATAAAATTGGTAAATAAAATAAAATTTTTAGATATTTTAGATTATTTAAATTTGACATATTATTTGGAAAAAAAATAAAATGAGGGTTATCAATCGTAAAATACCCAATGTGTAATTTCTAGAAAAAATATTTAATTAAAAATATTAATATATAAATCATATCTCATTGACTAAAAATGTATCGAGAATTTAAGATAATATCAAAGTGAAATTTTTTTATCTATTTCATTATTTCTTTGGCGATAAGTCTTTGGTGGAATGAAAACTTAAAATATACCGAAGAAAAATTGAAAAAAATTAGGCATATTACTTTAATTTGGCAGTATATATTGATGTCTTTCGTTTGATATAATTATTTAAAATTTTAAATTATTTCTTTCGTTTGCAGAAAAACAACGAAAACTTAATATATAATTTTTTTTATCCTTTGCGCTCCTGACTGACCGGCCTAACTGAAAAATAGTGGTCCCACCCTTTCCTCCAATCAAAATGCAGGTATTTAACGAGTACACTATAAAAGCAGCCAAAGTATTTCTTTTTAACGAATTGTTTTTCTGTCTTAGTTCTGAAGACCCATTTAATACCTGCCTTCTTATCGGTGAAAATGTGGCCCTACAGTTGGGCTCCACGATGCCTTTACCGTCGAAGGAAACTGCGGTAAGGAATCGAGGTGCACGTTGACGGCTACCGTAAGCACATTGCAATGTCGTGACGATTAAACCCATACGGTGAACACGATCCGACCCGTTAAACCTTGCCGATCCGATCCGACGCAACCTGATCCGTTTTGATTCGACTTGATGGCCGGATTCAGGTCGAGGAATTCTGATCCACAAGTCGATAGGGTGAAGTTTGAGGAAGCAGTACATGTCCTTATTTTCCTAAATAGTTGATTCTTTACTGTTATTATAATATCCATCTTATTTTAGGTGCATTTTTCCCCCCCAAAAAATGAAGAAAAAAAATTCAGGTGTTCAACACACGAAAGAGTTGACATTTGAGATGGATCATCGGGAGGAAGAGAAGAAGTCAAAGGAGAAGTGGCAATGATTTCTATAGTCATCCGAGGAAAATAAATGATGGTGCTAATGGAAAAGGAACAAGTTGATAAGGACAACAAGCGTTTATTAGCTAAGGCACTGCCAATATAAAGAAAGGTATGGGTGACGGAAGATGATAGAGAGAAGAGCTTGCAATGCATCAAGTCAAAGGATGGATCATAGCTGCTCGATGGTTGGCTTTTTGCCTATTTCTTTTGTGGTCATAGTGGAGTTCATGTGTGTTAGAATCCCAGTCAAAGGTGTCTGAATTATATTTATATTTATATTTATATATATAATATCACATCACATGGATCATTATTAGCTAAAAAATTGAAGGTCAATACCATTAAATATTAATATAGTGTATATGAAATCTAGCCAGATAGGAATTTCATATATGAATCACTAATCCACAATATTTAAGTGCACCTCAAATTGATACAAATACTTAATTGTATTACGATCGACAAAATAATTAATTTATTTATTTAATATGTTTGAACTATTCATTTATATATTTAAACTCAAGGTAATGATGATAGACTTACCTAGTTACATAAACTGATCTTAGTATTGTTTTGATTTCGATATGTTAAGGTTAGTAAGTAATTTAGAAGTTCTAATTAGATTCAATCTACTTGCAAGATTATATTCAAGGATTAGGAACTAAATAGGAAAAGTAGTATTAATATGTCACAAAGTTCTAATTAGGGCATTATAAATGTCACGAATGGTCGTCCCGCATTCGTAACAACTTCGTTCAACGAATTATTCATCGTTTTTACATGCTTGTATAGAGACATGACAGCCTATTGTATCTTGGTTTTGTATGTTTTTTCTTATAAAAATGTATGTTCGAATAGATTGCAACGATGTAGTGCGATCGCTCACCGCGTCGGGCCGAAATGCCCCAAAATGACTCAGTTTTCATGTCTCACAATTGGATGGAGCTTCGGTATATTATCGGGCGTTGAAAAATCTTTACAAGTTCACATGTTTTCTTAACGGGAACTTGCCTTCGCGCCCGACACTCGGTGATCAATTGTTTGTGAACTTGCAACTGTTCATTCTACCTTCTAAAGTCCTTGTTTTCCTCCTTCCCCTCTTTTCTCTTATGTACGCAAAGTCCTCGTTGAATTTATTGTAAAACTTTCCTTTCCGCGAGACGTCAGGACTTGTCCGTTGCTCGTTCTTTGAACTAATCAACTTTCTCTTTTACAAGTCCTTCGGAACCTGAGTAAGGTTGGAAATTGGCTGACCTTTACAGGCGTATATCACAAGGGCGCATCATGACTTAAGCAATCTCAACTAAGTCTGAGAAGTTGGCGCAAGGGCGCTTTGCAACTTAGGCAACTCAAGCTAAGTTCGCGTCTTGACCAGTGTCTCATGGCTTAGGTAATTCCAACTAAACGATGCATATATATATATATATATATATATTAAAAATTTTAATTTTTTTCGTAAGTATTGAATATTTTATTATATTCTTTTTAATGTATTGATCTATAAAGTTGTCTTGATTTTAACCTCCACTGCAAGTTCAATATTAGTGTACGTTTTGCATCGTTCACCACCTTGGATGTCTGATACGTACTCATGTGAAGTCGTGTAGTTCCATCGCAACGTTGGTGCACCTAATTGTTTTCTGTTGGATGTGGAAAGATGGGGCAGCTTCACCACATGCATCCTTCAATTATTCTGTGGATGTGTCCCTCGGAGCATGCCGCGTAGGACAAAGCTAGTAGGTGGGAGAAGGAGATGGCAAACCAACCCATGAATCCACCAATTATTGATCGCATGCTTTGCGTCTCAAACCTCACCCAATTCTATCTATCTATCTATCCAACTTAATCTAATGTTTCGATGATGCTTAATTAAATGGAAATTTAGAACATATCGTACTTTGACTTGCCTTGATTTCGATGCTCGACGAATTCGAGTGTCGTGTCAATAGCACATAAATTGGTTTAACTTGCACTCGATGCACAAGGTTCCATCTCGTCAAACCATGACCATGCATGCAGGATGGGCACTGCACTGGACTGGACATGGCTTTCGGACCTTGAATGATTGATAGCAATAGTCAAAACTGGAACACAGTGTTAGGTGAAAGCACATTTATTTTTTCCATGCATCATTCTTATGACGCATGCTAATCCAGGAGACTGTCGAGCTAAGTTAGATATTGCAAGCTTCAGCCAGGTGTTTTCCTTAATTTAATTATACCATATATTCAAGAACAGGACAATCGAATTATCATTAGAATAAAAAATATGACGTCATATGAGAGAAATAATCAACAAAAAAAATGTGTTAGATGATTCATAAAACATGATCTCAATCTTCTTCTTCGCTACTACACATCGTCCTAAACACTTGCTAATTACTTTACCATCGATCCAAAAGGCCGCCTTTTGGCATTCTTACACCGCTAAAAAGAGAAGAGAAAGAACCATATCTCCTGTATGGAGTCAACAAGATTGGTCTCTGGCAGAAGAAGAGGCGCGAGATGAGTGGTTTGCTGCCCTTCCTCCGAGAACAGGCCCGGTGGAACTGGTTTGGCAGCTACAGACCTGGCTGCTTCGGAATCCCAGGTGATAGCAGAAGCAGATCGTTCGAACGTGGGGGAGCACCGAAGCTGGCGTTGTGGCTTCTGCTTCTGCTTCTGCGGGTGTGGTCAGGACCTCCGACGAGGTCGATGACCTCGGGGAAGCGTAGGGAAGGCCCATGGTGAGGTCGAGGTCAGGGCACCATCGTCGTCCCTCGACCATGGTCACTCCGCTGCACGCGTGCTGCTCACAGGAAGCGGTGGACTGCGAGTCGCCACCGATGGGGCGGTGGGTCTGCGGGTCGAGCCCTCGGCCGAGGAGCTTGCGCCGGATGTGGGTGTTCCAGTAGTTCTTGATCTCGTTGTCGGTCCTCCCCGGTAACCTCCTGGCGATCACAGACCATCTGCGAACACGAAACCGAGGAATTCTTCTGAGTCGAGCCGGACGACGGCTATCGAATCGCCATGGAAGCAAAGAGCAGGGAGTGCGTACTTGTTCCCGAGCAGGCTATGGAGGTTGATGATGAGCTCGTCCTCCTCCTCGGTGAAGTTGCCGCGCTTGAGGTCAGGGCGGAGGTAGTTTATCCAGCGAAGCCGACAACTCTTGCCGCACCGTAGAAGGCCTAAAGACCACGATATCAGCAAAGACGGTAGTGGTGAGGAGATCGAGTGACAGTAGGGGAGGTGCAAAGACCTGCGGCTTTTGGGAGAGATCTCCAGCATCCTTCGCCGTGAGCGTTAATGTAGGAGATAAGCCGGAGGTCTTCTTCCTTCGTCCATGCTCCTTTGTTGGTGTGAGCCTTCTCGCAGCAAGGCGACCTGCCCATGATCGATGGAAGAGGAGAGAGACTGCTTCGATGGCTGAGGATGAAGTTGTGATTGCGAGGAGCGGATGGCAGCTTATATGAGAGGAACAGGAGGCTGTGGCTGCCCTCCCAATTGACCGCATCCATTACTTGCTCCATTTGACTGAGTTGCTTCCAGTGACTGGTTGTTGCAGACCATCTCGAAGATATGATAGGTTGATCTCTCTCTCTCTCTCTCTCTCTCTCTCTTTCACTTTTTACACGACACCGAAACATCTTTACACGCTTTTGTGGATTCTGGAATCGACAGCTCCCGTCAGTTACTGTGACTGATAAGGAGAGGAAGCTGGGGAAGAGATGGCACTTTTGTGACCAACCCTTCATTGATTCGCCGAGTCGTTCTCAAGCATGAACGTGTTATTTGGATCTCACAATCATGACAGTAATCCCAACCCGTGGAGGAGGAATACTCCTTCAAACGCTGGACCGCTGTCTCCGAGTTGTATCTGACAATGATACGAGGTGGATCTACAAAAGGTTATTGGTTGAGGCACAAAGGGCTCGAGGAATGATCTCTCTGCAAATTGCCTTGGACTAATCATTTGGTCTTCACTCCATCCCACCAAGACCTGTTCAAGCTTCCGTCATCATATTCCCATGACCACAGGACAAGCTATAATTCAAGGCTACTTCCTGTTATGTATTATTATTAGTTCTTGACCATGTCATACATACGACCGGAAATAAAACCTGGCATTTGATTGATCAATGGAGACACAGTAAATGCTAAACATTTCACAGTCAATCTGGAGTCAAACTGTCATCGATCCTTACCCTATACGTTGGTGCAGCGACCAAGTCAAGCGACTACCCTGTGCCACACAGCATCCTCGACCATACAAACATCTTCTCTGTAGGGGTTGTTTAGTGATCCTCTTGTTGGCATTTATGGAACTCAAAAAGTAGGTGAGCACAATTACTGGCACACATTTGTTGGTGGTCAAGCTCACTGTTTCTATGCATCGGTAGGAAGATGAGTTGTAGGGGGTATGTGATAGTTGCATCGCTCTCATTCGCTGCAAAGAGAACTGCATCTTCTGCAGCAAGTTGAGGAAAATCGAAAGCAACATGAAGCAAATTGCTCCAGCCCTGTTCATGAACTCCAACAAGGTGGTGGTCATTGTTCCTTTGGGTCAGACTCCTCCACACTGTGAAATGTGTTCTCTCTGCTATCTTTCGACAGTTCATTCATCCTTGTTTGTTTGCATTGATTTTGTCCTGCCATCAAATTATTGGCAAAGAAATGATTTGACATATGTGATTTCATCTCTTACTTTGGGATGATCATGATTCGTTTCAAATCAAAATCAAATCATAATCCGGGCTATATGGTTTGGTTCCGATTCCTAGAAATTCAAATTGAAACTATTCCATTCCAATTTCAAACTGACCAAATAAAAATAAAAACATAAATAGAATATATAATATTATGGTTATAATATCTTAGATTTACAATGTATTGTTCTAGAATTGAAATCAAGGGGTCCAAATTAAAATCAGAACTAAACCATTGATTTTGGTTCCAAAATCAGAACCAACTCTTCTATCAAAACCCATCTAGAATTTCTAGTTTCAAATTTAAATAAATCAAAACTGATGATTCTGAAACTATAATCACCCCAACTCTTATTCACTCAAATTTCAGAGATATACGATTTCTTCTCGGTCATGATGGAGAAACCCGATTAGCAAAAAAAATCAAGATATCAACAACAAAATACAAATAAAAAAATCAAATTAACATCTATCTCTTGGAATTCATTTCTAAATCCTTTTACTGTACAAAATCAATCAAATATAATGAACAAAATTTTCTCTTAAATTTATCCAAATCTCACCCTCTTAAAGACACTGAAAATATTGTTTTTTCTCTGTCTTTCCTTCGCCAACACTTTCAAATACACAATATATTCATTCGTGGAATAATTAAACTTTAACTTACATGGATTTTTTTACTTCATAAAGAATTTTTTTCATATTTGAGAGACATACTTTCCTTTAGGTTAAATGATGTGTTTAAGGATTGACTCGAGTGCATACAATGACAAAGACAATGAAAACCTATGCAGAATGCAAACAACCAATATAGTAGAAGGGGAGTGTCTTCTTCCTGATTTAGAAATCACAGTGAGATTCATTATATTAATTAGCATAGACCAATATGATATTATTATGAAAATAAATGGTGGAATGTTTGAAAATATTGTTTTTGGTACTATAAATTTTAATATATTAAATATAAAATACTTAAAATGCTCTTAAAATTTTTCATATCAATATTAATTGCAAGTATATGTGCAAGTGTTTTAGGTTTTGTGATGACATGTATGGAAAATTTGAGTTTAAATGAATAAAATACGAAAATAAATGGCTTTATAGGATTATATTTGTAATTTTGTCTTAACGTGAGGGTCAAAACCGTCAACCCAAGTGTCGGTGAGCCAGCGCACCTGCCGCCCCACCGACCTGCCCAATTTTGCATGCCAAGAAACCTACGTCGTTCGCTACCTGTCATGTGATTGGAAAACAAGCGTGGACCCACTGTCACACAGTTTTGAACAACAGGGTACGCACGTGGGGTTCGTTTCGCCAATCGCACTAGGTCCTACAGGATTTTACCGAACAATGAGTTGCAAGATACCTGCCATGTGACTGGAGAGACACATGAGGCCCCACTCCGTGATGAAGCTACCTTTGCACCTTTTGCCAATAAAAGGACAGGTAGGTAATGTGGTGGGATCTGCCGGGTAAGTAGTTTATTACTGCTTCCCTTTTCGGTCTATATGAATCAGCCACTTTTATCTCCCTTGAATAAATAATTAAATAAATATATATATACATATATATATATATATAACACATTTTTTATTCCTATAAATATGGTCACATATTTTATTTATACTAAATTTTCTACATCATATTCTCTCAAGATTTAAAATGATAAAAATTTATGATTCTTAATTGCAAAAAAAAAACTATAAATATTGTTTTAGTTCAAAAATTGAATTAATATCCGGATTTTTTTTTTGCACTCCATAATAATGAATCAAAATAAAAACAAATAATATAAGCTTATTTTCATTTAATTGGAAGCCAACACATGAAAGTGGTACGATATAGTATATAAATAAATATTCCCCCAAGAAAGTAATTAATCTTCTATCACCGATGGTAGTTATAGAATAAATGCTTCATTAAGAGGCGGATGCTAACCTAACCGTAAAGAGGTCTTGTTATACAGCTGCAGTTTTCCCTGTCTCAAATGATGAGCAATTGGTGGGGCTACAGCAAGTTTATAGAGTGAGATTTTGATTCCCTGCCTCAAAGGTTATGTTCTTCTTCTCTAACTACACTTCACCATCAAGTGCTTCGATTCAAATAGAGAGGAAGATACATTAAAGGTCCAATGAATTCAAGTAATACTGCTTACAATAAATCGCAACGTTGCCCGTTACGTGTTTGCTCTTTTGCCGAAAAGAAAAATGGCTTCCCTGGGCCGGTCGCGACGCGGATACTGCCTTGTTCGTTGGCCCAGCAATGTGTAACTGATAACCATGTATATAACTAACAGCTATAACTCGATAGATATCGGAATTATGTAAAGAAGAATGTGATGTATAGATATATGAGAGAGAGAGAGAGAGAGAGTCACGAATATTTTTACGTATCCCAAACAGTAGAAAAAAACCTGTTCAGGAGGAGGTGGATAAAGGGAGTTCCAACAGACAGATAAGATACGACTCAGGACTCGACTTTGAACTCGTTATTTTGGATGGGATGTCGGCACCACATCAACCTGAGCCCGGCATCTCCGGTGACAATGTAACAACCCTTCCTTACCTTCGTTCGACACTATAAAGTACCTCCAAAGCGGCGTCTAATTATCTTACACTTCGCTGAGGTCCTTTTAAGGCGGCTCTGTTCCCGTTCGCTCACCATCTCCTGTATTACACGTACCGCTTCCCCCTGCCTCGTTGTCGTCACTATAAATGCCCGCTTCGCTCCCCGCCACTGCGCGCGTCGCGCCTCCGTTACCGACTCCATCTCGCCGGGATTTTGAAACCCTAAACCTGATGGAGAAGTCGGCGGCGACCGGGGAAGAGCTACAATTAGTCGATCCGCGGGTGTGGAAGGCCAGCGCCGGCATCTCCTCCCGCATCGCCGCCGTCGGATCCTCCGTGTACTATTTCCCCCAGGGGCACGCGGACCAGGCTTCCTCGCTTCCTGACTTCTCCGCCGTCCCGTGCCCCCGTGCTTACGTCCGCTGTCGGATCTCGTCAGTCCGCCTCCACGCTAACCGCAGCACCGACGAGGTCTTCGCCCGCATCAGCCTCGACCCTCGCGCGCCGCCTGCTGCGTCGCCGGTTCAGCCGCAGACGGAGTTTCCCTTCTCGTCCTCCTCATTATGGCTGCCGGGGGCCCAAGATAACGGGGACGGCAACTTCATATCCTTCGCTAAGGTACTCACACGCAGCGATGCCAACGTTGGGGGGCGGGTTTTCCGTGCCGCGGTTCTGCGCCGAGTCGATCTTTCCTCCTCTCGATTTGGGGGACCCGACCCCGGCGCAAACTGTCACTATCCACGACGTACACGGGAAGTCCTGGACATTCCGGCACGTCTACCGCGGGACCCCGCGGCGCCACCTCCTGACCTCCGGATGGAGCAATTTCGTCAACTCAAAGAGACTAATCTCGGGCGACTCGTTGGTCTTCATGAATTCGTCAGGAAAGGTCTTCGTCGGTATCCGCCGCACCAGCCGGTCCTGCGGCCCAGCAACACTAAATGTGGAAATGGAGGAAAAACACGGACGATTCTCGAGAAGTGTTAGAGGAAGAGTTCCGCCGGCGTCTGTGGTGGAAGCTGTTAGATTGGCTGGGTTGAATCTTCCTTTCGAGGTAATGTACTATCCGAGTGCCAGATCTCCGGTGTTTGTAGTGCCACAGGAAGCAGTGGATGCTGCAACGAGAGTGTCGTGGACCGTTGGGATGCGAGTTAGGATGTCCGTGGAGACGGGGGACTCTGCAAGAATGAATTGGTTTAATGGCTCGGTGACCAAAGTGACGATCAATGATGCGGGGCTGTGG